GGCTGCTGTCTCTCTGGAGTGGGCTGTCCCGCTGCCCCGCCTTTGTGGGTGGGGTCCTGGCCAGCCCCATTTCATCATCGGCCTTTGTGGCATTTTCTGGAAGCTGTCTGGTAGCCCCTGAACTATTGTCGCCCGAGAGGGGATCACCATGCAGGACACGGAATCCTCGATGAACTCTGTAGACTCCGACGCAGGCGGAGCCTCCGGTGCCATCGGGGCTGACTGGCATCTTGGGGGATGCTGGGAGCCACAGTGTCTAGTGAGCGGGGCGAGGGCCGCCCAGATGCACAGTCAGCTGCCAGGCCGGGGCTGCAGAACCTGGTGCCAGGTGCTCTGTGTGACCAGCCAGCAGCGTCGTGAGCACCCTGCGTCTCCGTGCTGGCGCTGGACTCGCTGTTGTGCACCTAGGTGCACCTGCTGTGAATTCCTTGTTGTTGCCTCTCTCGTCCTCTTTGTGTTGTGGGCACCTTGCTAGCGATACGGTGCTACCTCAAATACTCTCTGGGCGTTTATCCTGTCTTGGATGGGACAGGACGTCGGTACACATGTTCATTCAGGAAAAGCAGCCCAGGGAGTTCTCTGAGGCGTTTCTGGTGGGGAAGTGGAAGGTGGGCGAGGGGACCCCGGGCCACAGACCCTGCAGCGCCCTGACTCCTTCGCAGTCTCTCCCAGCCTCTGCTCTGCAAGCCCCTGGGTCGGCAGGCACCTGCGGAGTCTTTAACCCTGGGTGGCGTTTTGAAGATTTGTCTCGAATGGAGCCCAGGGCTCCCTCCCTAGAATAAGACCTGAGGGAAGCAGAGGTGGTTTACTAGTGGTATGGTCTACAGCTTTCTCTGCGTTGCTGGCATTGGACAGTCGGGGAGAGAGTCCCTGCTGGCCTCCTGCCTGCTTCACTCTTCCAGCCCTGGGGCAGCACACTGGGCTCCAGGACCAAGGGTTTCCTGCTCCTGATATCCAGGGTTCAGCCATGCCCTCCCCGGGGGCTTCTCCCTTCACCAGAACTAAGCTGAGAGCTGCGCTGTGGGCGGCTCCTTGGGCTTGTGCATGTCTTTGGTGACATGTTAGCTCAGCCAGCTCAGCACGGTGGGGCTGGGAGGCAGCTCCAGGAACCCCGAGGATCGTTCAGTATGGAATCCTGAGCCATTCCGGGGTCGATATCTCCTTGCTCTGCCCTGCCTTCGTAGATATGGGGACTCACACGCATTAAAATGTTCTTTGTCTGCAGAGTGCATGGCATGGGGAGATTGTGTCTGCCACAGACCGAGCAGGACAGGAGGAGGCTAATGGAGACCAGAGTGCTCAGGACAGCTAGCCAGCAGGAGGGCTGGACCAGTCAGAGCACTGCTGTGGCCGCAGGGGTCACACTGGATGACCTTGACGGTGGTGTCAGTCCTTCGGGGTCAGCCTGTGGTATGCGCTTGGGGGCACAGCCCTATCTCAATTCTACTGAATGTTTGCAAAGATATCTGCACTCCAGGGCCGCCCCTGCTCATTGGCCCCAGCACTCTCACCGAGCAAACGCATAAAGAATTGATTTCTGTGTCTATATCCTGGTTTTGCCCCTAGAGATTGATAGAGCAGTTTACAGAGGAATGGAAGCCCAGCCCTCGCTCCAAATTGATTTGGCGACGTTTGATACACTCTTCTTTCCTAGAACAGGACGGCTCAGCTATAATAGCCCCAAGATTGCTTTTCACACCTCTTTCATCTCCATGATTCTCTGCACACTTCTTACGCTGCTCTCGGTGAAAGGTCTGAGAGGCTCGTGCGGGCTTGAAAATACCCAGGCCAGAGCTCGGGGACCCCTGCTCAGACTGCGGGCGGATGGGCTTTGTGTGGGAGAGGGGGCCTGGCAGTCCTGCTGCACACGGGTTCAGGGTGAAAGGATCTGGCGGCTGCTGTGAACTGAGTTCAAGCTGCAGCATGCCCTTGACTTGACCTGGTGACCAGGCAGGAAAACCAGTGTGGCCACAGTGGTGCCAGGACCTGTGTGCGGATGCAGAGGGCCTCAGGCTGGCACCCGGGGCTGCGCCCGCACTCAGTCCTTTGGGGGTGGGGACAGTTGCCCCCATGTAGTACGTGCCGGGTCCTTTCAGGAAGACCTTGAGTCTGGGTTCTGCAGAGAAGCAGAACCAGTAGGGAGATGACTGCACCTGCCGACCTGTGTCCACATCTACTGTCTGTCTCTGGCTATGTCTCAGCTCTGCGTCTGTATCCGGCACTGTCTTTATCTTCCTCTCTCTGTATTTCTATGTACAATCTCTGTATCTGTGGCTGCCCCTCCCTGTGTCTGTCTGTCTGTCTGTATCTCTCTCTCTCTCTCTTGCTCGCTCTCTCCCTCTCCCCGCTTTCCTCCCTCCATCTCCCAGAGATTCAGGAGAGCCAGGTGGTGCAGGTTCTGCCACAAGTCCAGGTCCAGGGCCAGAAGCCCCAGCCCCCACCTGCAGACAGTCCGATGTGGAGAGGGATCCTTCCCACTAGGTCTCCTGTTCTGCTCAGGCCTCCGGCCGGCAGTGACCGCTCTCCCCGCATGCTGGGTGGGAAGCTGCTCGGCTCTGCACAGAGCCTCTCTGTCCCCCGCCCACCGGGACCTCACATGGACCCCAGGAGAGCCTTTATCTCAGGCCCTCAGTGCGGGTACCTGGAGGGCCTGCACACATATCCCTGTTCCCCCACACCCTGCCCCAGCCCTGCATGGGTGGATGGCTGGACGGGGCCAGCCATTGCATTGAGAAGAACACTAGCAGAACAGTGCTGCAGCAAGACAGCCGGGCTGGGAATTGATCTGCTAGGCGATAATTTGAAAAGTGGAACCTGTGTTCCAGCAGGCCCTGGAAGAGTACCGTCTTGCTCAGTGGGATTCACTGTCCAGAGTGAAGGGTGCTTTCTCCTCATCCCATCCCATCTTCGGTGTCCTTCTTCGTCCTTGTCCTCTTGCTGCGCCAGTGGCTGGACCCTGCGGCCAGAGCACTGAGGATGAGTGGCCGGGCCAGGCCCGGGTCGGCCAGGGTGAGGGGAGGCGGGAGCAGGCAAGGTGCTCTGCCGGGGTGGGGCAGCACAAGAGGACGGGAGCCCTGCTGCTCCTGCCTCCAGGGTCCTCGTGGCTTCCTTTGTGCAGAGCGCAGCGTCGCTTCCTGATGGATTCCCTCGTGTCCCTGGCGGGTCTCCGGCCCTCCCCAGGTAATCTGTCCTGCTCGCAGAGAGAGGGGCTCTGTGGCCAAGAACGGGGCATGACGGCAGGGTAGATCAGAGGTCATTGGGGGAGACTGGTTGAAATGTGCATGTATGTATGTGCAGACATGCATGTTTATATGTGTGCTTCCATGTATGTACAGGTGTGCTTGTACATGTGTGCATTGCATGCGTGTGTGTGTGTGTGTGTGTGTGTGTGTAGGTGCTGGGGGAGGCGCAGGTGTCTCAGCGCAAGCCGTAGCTCAGTTCTACCACTGGCCCTGTGTGAGGGTTGATGTGTTTGGGGCCTGGATTGGGAGGAGGTTTAGAAAGCTAAGGAACACAACCCTCTGGGCGCAGGGGGAAGAGAGGAAGGTGAGACGGTGTGAAGAGTGTCGAGCTGCAGGGAGCACTGCACACCTCTTCCTTCCGAGGAATACAGTAATCACTTATGCAAATACTAGAGCTGTAGGCGAGACGCTTGGGCCAGGCTGCCTGACCGGTCCAATAGAGTAGCTGGCATGCAGCTCCTTCCATCCACCCACCCACCCGTCCACGTACCTATCCATCCACCCACCCCCATCCATCCATCCATCCCTCCATCTACGGTGTGTCTGTCCATTCGCTCACTCACCTGCCCACTCACGCACCTGTCCACCCACCCGTCCCTCTGTCCATTCATTTACCTACCCACCCCTCCACTCTGTCCACCTGCAGACCCATTCACCGACCCATCCATTCACCAAGACACGCAGCCACTCCTGCACACGCCCACCAGCCTTCACTAGCGGCACCCGACGGGTAACCACCGTGCAGTATGCAGTGGCAGGTGAGGAGGAGGCAGAGGTTCTAGTCCCTGTCCACGCATTCACAGCCGCATGGGACCCGCCTCTGTCTGCCTTCCCCACCCCCATCCCGGCCTCCATCCTGCGCTGCACCTGCCACACCCAAGGGTGAGCTGGGCATCTTCCTGGGGCAGGCCCCACCCGCAGTGCAACCCGCACTGCTCCTCCACGTCCCCAATGAAACGTGTGGCCCACCCAGCACCGTGGAGCTCGGGGACGGAGAGCGCGTCTCTACAGAGTTTGGGGGCCCAGGACCCCGAAGGCCTCAGGCTCTTGCTGCCAGTTGTGCCAGCTCAGTGCCTCAGGCTTAAAAAGATGTACTGAAGCTGGTGTGGAGGTGCACACCTGTAATCCTGACACACAGGAGGCTGAGACAGGAGGAGTTCCAGGCCACCCTGCCTACAACGCACACTGAGAGGTTGCCCACTGTGGATCTCGGGCCCTTGGCAACATGCAGTGTCTCCACAAATGTGCAGCCGTCACCAGCGGCTTCCCAGTGCCCTCTGCAGGGTGGGCGCAGGTGCTGGTGCAGACCTGCTTCCAGTAAGGACGAGCGTCAGACACACCCTGCCCTGTGTCCCCTTGCCTCGTGGTTCCTTGTCACCCACGCTCACGAGGGCTGGGGACAGTGCACCACCGTGCATCACGGGGCCAGGCAGGGACAGAGGGGCCTCTGCGAGGCGGGCGTGAGTGGGGCCCAGGCCTTGTGCGCGCCTGGGCAGCACTGGAGCCCCGGAGCTGGCGCGGGCCCTGCCTGGGCCGGACTGGACTGCAGGTGGCCGGGGCCTGTGCAGTGGGGGCCTCCAGGTGGCCCTGTGGTGAGCACAGCGGCAGCCTCGGCGGCACGAGCGTCCCCACAGGGCTCTGCTCCTCCCGGGCGCACGGGGTGCGTGCGCGCGGGAGTCCTCGGGCGGCGCGGCGTCCGAGCTTCGGGCCGGCGCGTGGAGGGGTGAGTTCACGCAGCTTTCCTCTCGGTCCACGCAGGGCTGGATGACCTGCGCGTGTGCGCCGACCCCGGCGTCCCCGAGAACGGCTTCCGCTCCCCCGGGGAGGGCGTCTTCTTCGAGAGCTCCGTGACGCGGTTTCACTGCCAGGACGGCTTCAGGCTGAAGGGCGCCACGAAGAGGCTGTGCGCGGAGCAGCCCGACGGGACGCTGGCCTGGGTGCCCGGCGACAGGCCGGTCTGCGTGCAGGAAGGTGGGTGCTGCTCCGCGGGGCGGGCGGCCGGGGTGAGCCTGCGTGTGGCCCGTGGCGCGTGACGCCCGGGAGC